TAGGAGAAATATCTAATGTAGATGACGGGGTAATGGATACAGCAAACCACTACCATGGCACGTGTATACCTATGTAACAAACCTGCATGATCTGTACATGTACCCCAGACTTAAAGTATAATAAATAAATTTTTTTAAAAAAGTTGTTTCTCCATCCTGGCCACAAACATTTTCTCCTACTTTTTTCAGTTTAACTTTAGTTTTACCTTTCACAGTCTTTAACTTTGTAAAATTAATATTTACATACTTGCATGTAAAGATTGACATATAATTCCAAGCCACCTACATGATCCAATCACCTCCTACTAGGACCCCACTTCCAACATTGGAAATTACATTCCAACATGAGATCTGGGTGGCAACATAGAGCCAAACCATATCAGATATTAACCTTGATCATGCAGCTGAGGTATATATTTGTCAGGTTTCTTCACTATGTAATCATCTTCATCATGTACTGAGTTAGATTTATTTTTCTTATATAGTGAAGCAGGTTTCTCAGTGCTATCTGCCAATTTGTTAGATGTGTATCTGTAATGGAAAAACAGTATTGAGAGATTTCTCCCAATCGGAGGGCATGGAGTTTGGGGATAGGGCTGGAAGAATGAGAAAAAAACTTCACAGGGACCATGCCATGCCATCTGCGGTGAACTTTGAAGGGAGGAGAGGACATTGGAAAGGCAATTCCATGCTGAAGAATGATGCCAACAGAGCTCAGAGACAATAAAGCATCTATGAGTGAAAGAGTATTTGAATTGGAATCCACCCCAGAAATCATCTGTGGTCTAATTACTTCATTTCCTAGGTGAGTACTATAATTTTCCCAATGTTACACAGCTAGAAATTTGTAGAGCTGGGATTCAAACTCAGAAAAAGTGATTTCAGCACTTATTCTCCCAACCACAGAAGGAGGTTAGGACCTAATCATGGTGGCCCAGCCAATTAGATGCACAGCCAGGACAAAGCCATCAGTTCCTGTTTCCCAGTCCCTCTACTTTCACAGGTATACACCCTGAAACATAATGAATGCTCAGAAATCCTATGGGAATTTTAGTGGTAGAGTTAACAAAGTCCTCTGGGGTTAAGGGAAATAAGGTTCTGTAAGAATTAGAAATGAAATAGTCTCAGGAGGCACAGAGGATTTATAGTCTAGCACTAATTACAGTTTTGAGTATACTGCCGGCATAGTCTTCTTAATTAAATGAGCTAGAATTCTTCTTTGGAAACTTTCCTAGAGGATCAGGTCTGTGTAAGTAAATACTTATGCCTTAGAGTCAAAGGAATGCATCAACACCTAAAGCCAGCTCTCCCCTTGAGGAAAACAGTGTTGGGAGGACAATGGGAATAGCAGAGAAGGGCCTTTCCAGGAGTGATATCATATAGCAATTAGAAGTAGATTAGGTGTTCACACAAAAACACAAATGGATGTGAAAAACATGATGCTTACTGAAAAACAGTATGAAAAAGGGATGAGATATATGGCAACTCATCATTTTTGTAAATTAAAGAGGTATGCCCAGAAAACATGATTATACATTTAGCAGGAACACATTCATACAATATACATATTAAGCACATTAGAACAGTTGCCCACAGGAGGCAGGGAAAAACCATGATTAAGCAGACTGTACATATATCTTTGTATACATTGATTGTGTTTTTGTGTTTGTGTTACAATCCTGAGCAATGACAAGGGCAGCAGCATTAAATGATTCCTTTTAGAAGCCCTCAAACCTCTTGGCATTATTCAGATTTCCTCATTTTCTTTTTTTCTAGTGTCCTTTTTCTGTCTCAGGAACCTAATCATGTTACCACATTACATTTAGTAGTCATGTCTCCTCAGCTTCCTCTTGGTCATGACAGCTTCTCAGATTTTCCCTGTTTTTGATGATCTTAACAGTTCTGAGGACTAGTGGTGAGGTATTTTGTAGAAATTGGTATTGGAATTTGTTTAGTGTTTTTCTCATTATTAAATGGACATAATATATTTTTTGAGGAAGACCACAGATGTATATAATCATTTTCATCATATCAAGAGTACATGTGATCAACGAGACTTTTCACTTTGATGCTGTATTAGTCTCTTCTTAATTGCTATAAATAAATAAATACCTAAAACTGGGTAATTTATAAGAAAACAGGTCTTAATAGGCTCACAGTTCTCTGGGCTGTACAGGCTTCTGCTTCTGGGGAGGCCTGGGAAAACTTAGAATCATGGCAGAAGGTGAAGGGGAAGCAAGTACATCCTCACATGGCCGGCAGAAGAGAGATTATTAAAGGGGGAGGTGCTACGTACTTTCCAAACACCAGATCTCCTGAGAACTCTATCACAAGACAGCATTAGGGGGATGGTGCTAAACCAGCAGAAACCATCTACATGATCCAATTACCTCCCACCAGGCCTCACCTCCAACATTGAGAATTACAGTTCAACATGAAATTTGGGTGGGGACACAGAACCAAACTATATCAGATACTATCTTTGATCACCCAGCTGAGGTAATATTTGTCAGGTTTCTTCACTACAAAGTTACTTTCTTTTTCTCTCTTTCCATATCATACTTGCTGATTACTTATTTTAAAACTTTAAGGCTAATTAAAGTAATTACAGAGGCCAATGTTAAAAATGAAGGGTTTTCAATTATTAATAACAAGATTTTTAGACAAGATGGAGAAGATGCTTCATTTTCCCTCAACTAACAGTGGGAGAGATGTTTTCTTCTGACTCATAAAGCTTGTACAGATAATCTAATTTGATAAAGTCTTAAGTTGACATATACAAGGATGTTGATATTGTTTTCCTGTGCAATTTGGAGATGTAAATATTTCAAACTTTCCTATTGGTTCTGCTATTTGTTAATATACAGCTGTTCTTGGACACATAAGGTGAGAATAATTATAGTATATCACAGTAACAATGTAAGAATCAAGGAGATGGATAAGCAAGAGATGGAGAATGTTGGAGGAAAGGTCCGTGTCAACATGGCAACTCAAGGACAGCTTCATGGAAGGTTGAACATACAAGCATTATTTGAAAAGGTAGAGGAGGCCAGTGGTACACCACATGCACTAAGGCAGAAAAGGAAAGAACATGACATATAGCCCAAGTCTGCCATGTGAGAGCACAGGGTGTGTAGAACTTGTATGCCAGGCTAAAGAGTTTGCACTTTATTCTGTAATTCTTTTTGTGGAGGACAATGGCATTTTTGGGCAAGGAGAGTAATGTGATCAAATCTGAGTTTTAGGAAAATAGCTGGCAACTGTCTAAGCGAAATTTGAAGGATACGAGCTTGGAGAGAAATATAAGAGTTATTATTAAAAACTATGAAAAGATAGATACAAGGGAGGGGATATTGAAAATAGGAGTAAAAAACATTAGATTATGGAGGCAGAACAGACAGGCCTTGGGGCTAAGATCATAGCTAACAGTAGCAGAGGTTGGCAGGATGCTTATCAAATCGATATCGTCTTCTTTCTGGGCACACGGCTGGACTACATTTCCCAGCCTCTCTGGCATTGGGCACAGCTGTGTGACTGACTCTCCAGTCAAAACAAACATTATGGGTGAGTCATGTATGCCACTTTCAGACCTATCCTTTCTTCATCAGACTGGAATGGAGAGAGCTTTCAAGACCATTCTGAGAGTCATGCATAGAATATAATAGAACTATGGGGTAGAAGGAGCTGTAGTTCCCAGATTATTTCCTGGAGAATTATGCAGCCTGCACTGGACTTTGAGACAACTGAGAAATAAACTATTTCCCTCCTGAGCCTTTATATGCCTGGGTCTATCTGTAATCACAGCATGGCATGGACTACCCTAACGAAATTAGATGTTGATACTGTGAAGTGGTATCCCATAACAGAAAACTAAAGCATGAGGCATGGGCTGGTGAGGAGACAAAATATTAGAGATGGGAAAGGCTGAGGAGCCCTGTATTGCTATTTGCAAACTATTTGACAAAACGGTTACCTGCCTAAAGTTCTAGAGAAGTGATTGTAAAGTCAGAGAGATAGTGTGTGTTGGCCACTGGGCTGCTTTGAGTAAGATACTAAAAGACAAAGGTGTGCTTGGGCAAAAATTGTCTGTGGCAAGCAGAGATGCAAGGAAGCAGAGAACGTCTAATGCTGGGCTTTGAATAGATAAGGAAAACCTTCTAGATTCTGAATAAAAAGAAATAAGATACAGGAAGCCAGAAAAGTCTATTAGAATCACTTGGTGATAGAGATAAGATGAAGGGTGTTGCTGTCTCATGAGCCTGCTAGCTTCAAGGTAGTGAGAGAGGCATGGCGGGGGGGTGGGAGTTAGAGAAAGAAAACATATTTAAAGGGTACATCAGAAGTGCTGGTTCATTTAATGGCACAGGAAATAGATTAGCAGCAAATAGAACAAAAACCCACTACTTCTTGAGGGAATTTTAAACCTCAGAAACCATAAGCCTGGTCGAGAAAAGTCTGTCTTCCAAGATGCTGGAGAGGATGTGGAGATAAAGGAACACTTATGCCTTCGGTGGGAATGTAAATTAGTTCAACCATTGTGGAGACAATGTGGCAATTTCTCAAAGATCTAGAACCAGAAATACTATTTGGCCCAGCAATCCCATTACTGGGTATATACCCAAAGGATTATAAATCATTCTACTATAAAGACACATGCACACATATGTTTATTGCAGCACTGTTCACAATAGCAAAGACTTGCAACCAACCCAAATGCCCACCAATGATAGACTGGATAAAGAAAATGTGGTACATATACACCATGGAATCCTATGTAGCCATAAAAAGAATGAGTTCATGTCCTTTTCAGGGACATGGATGAAGCTGGATACCATCATTCTCAGCAAACTAACACAGGAACAGAAAACCAGATGCTGCGTGATCACACTCGCAAGTGGGAGTTGAACAATGAGAATACATGGACACAGAAAGGGGAACATCACACACTGGGGCCTGTTGTAGGGTGGGGGACAAGGGGAGGGATAGCACTAGGACAAATACCTAATGTAAATGATGTGTCGACGGGTTTGCTGCACCCATCAACCCATCATTTACATTCGGTATTTTGTAATGTATAGATATTTGTTACATGTATACCTCTGTAACAAACCTGCAGGTTCTGCACATGTATCCCAGATCTTAAAGTATAATAATAATAAAAAAGAAACATCTGTATTATGGAGAGTTGCTTTTTAAAGAAAATCTCAGGAAGAAAGCAAGTGTTCTTGGGAGGGTCTACTCTCTAACACCCATGTTGGAGATGGACAAATATAAAAATGAAGAGGGAAGAACTTCCCAAGAACAAGACTAGGGGTTTCCCAGAACAATGAGTGAGAAAGACCATCCCATAGAGCAGAATCAGGGCCTAACTAAGGACTTCCTGCAGTGTAGGATAGAGAGCCTTTACAACGTCTGTGCAGTGGGACTTCTGAATTGCCAAGGCCCAGTAACCACGGTGTGCCTCACATTCTTTCTCTTTTCTAATGGGAGTTAATTGTGGTTATCTTATTATTTCCCTGTAATCGTGTGCATGGTGAGTGGCCCTGGGTGTAGGGGGAAGATAACTTTCCTTTTTCATTACTAGGTCACCAAACTAGAGTAGCAAAATCAGCTCCTGATGGGGGTTGCTGCCCATCACTCAGAGTCCCTGAGCTTGAGGCTGAATGCTGTGTTGGGATAGGATTCGGAGGAAGGGTACAAGTGTGTTCTTTGTGTGAGAAGCAGAGTGAGATTGCTATTTGACAACCAGTAGGGCAGTCTGTGTGAAAAAGTGACTAAGGGCTCACCAAGCCTGATTCCTCTTCTTCCTAGGCACATATCAAGACTGCATTTCCCAGCCTTCCTTAGAGTTACCTGAGGCCATGTGGCTGAGTTATGGCCAATGGAATGCAAGTAGAATAACCCCTAAAATCCTGCACAAGAAATAAACTTCTGTTGTTTTCAATTATAACATTCTTGGGTCTGTTTGTTACCACAGCAGAATCTAGCCTACCTAGACTAACACACTAGCATTTGTACATTACAAGTGTTTTGCTAAATGTTCTATGTATATTAACTCATTTAACCAACAAAACCAATCCAATGAGGTATGTACAAGTATAATGTAATCTCCATTTTACACTGAGGACACTGAAACAGAGAGCCCCAAGTCACACAAATAATAAAGGAGAAATAGTTGTACTTGGGAGGGTCTACTCTCTAACACCCATGTTGGAGATGGCCAAATATGAAAATAAACAGTGAAGAACTTCCCAAAGATCAAGACTGGGGGCCTCCCAGAACAGTGAGTTAGAAAGATCATCTCATAGAGCAGAATCATGGGCTAACTAAGGAAGCTATCTTATTTATCTAAAAGAACAAGAGGTGGAAACTCTAACCACAATGCTCTATTACTTCTTGAGACAAAAGATACTTTCTGTGTTACTTCCCTAGAATTTTGGGGAAGGTCCCTGACAATCTTGCTGAGGACAGCATGTGCAGTATTGGAGGCGTGAGCCAGTGTCTAAGGGACTGGGGTGTTCACAGGTGGACATCTACCAGCTGCATGCACTGGTGGCTCCAGAATTTCTGATTTAAGTGGCTAAAGGGCGGTCAATGAATTGGCCTGAGGCTTGAAATGCATATACATAGTAATTTCCTTTAGATACAGAAAATGCCAATATTCTTTACTTGAGAATGGGACTGGGAAAGCAACAGAGTTTGAGGGCCTGAATCTCAGGTATGCCAGCCCTGAGTACTTCCTAATGCATGTAGTCAAGCCCAACCTCATCTCTCCCAACTTCTTGTCACACGCTGGAAGACCCACCCAATCTAAACCCTGCCACCCTACCCTTTCTCACTTCTGTGAGCAGCTAGGTAGCCGAGTGGTGAGCATGTCCTGCATACAGGAGCCAAGTTTGAATTCTGCAATTTATTGTCACTAGTATAACCTCGAGCACATCTATAATAATACCTACCTATGAAGACTATCATGAGGTATCAATGAAATCAATAAATATAATATATTTTACATAGTGCCAGGCTCATAATATACATTTAAACTAAAGAAAAAACTTTTAATGTGTGAAATTCCAGTATTTTCAGCTTCAAACATCTCGTTGGTGGCTTCTCACACCCATAAGTGGGAGACAAATCCTCTGCTGACCATGCCTTCTGATTTAGGGTGCAGAAAAGAGAGTCACTACATAGCAGTTGGAATGCACATGAAAGAGGACTCATCGGGGCCTGGAATGGTCGGCAAAGCCTTTTGGAAGAAACTGCACTTGGAATGCAGTTTGAAGGTGGAGATGATTGACCCCAGAAGAAGTGAGTGAACAAGGCATGGACAAATGCTTAAAAGCAGGAAGCACATAGTATTTTATGGTGGTGATTTTTACTTTGCTAATATACGCTCTACCCAGGATACCAATGAGAGTTATGTTCAAAAAGGTAGCTTATGGGAAGATTCTAAGGGTCTTGAAATTTCTCCCTCTCTTCTTTCCTTTCACTTACAGCAACAGCAGCAATGGCAATGATAACCCATCCCCAGAAAAATGGCCCAGTTATTAAACTGTGCTCTCAGATTAAAAATTGAAACCCAAATCTCAGCATCCACATGTAGATGAGGGAGACTGTGGTCACACAGAAGGGATTTTGGCAACTGTGTTCCTTTTACAATCAGGTGTCCAAGGACTACAGTCACCTGGGATGAATTACAGCAATTTGCAGCTCTGTATTGTTGGAGACATTTCAATTCTGCTATTAGCCAGCCAGAGCTCAAAGGGTTCTGCCTTCATCTGGTCCAGGATTAAGACAAAAGTGTCGCTGGGACAGGAAGGAGGTATAGGTGGCTTTGTGAAGTAGATGGGAACAGAGTGTGATTGAAAGCCAGTTAGGGGTCTTCTAAGGAGTTTTGTCTTCACTGAGCTACCTTCTTCAAACTTTTCAGGGTATATTCTGCATGTGGATTTTCTTCAATGAGTAAAAACTTACTCATTTGCTCCTCGTTATAAACCATAGATGATGTCTTCCTTTTATTTCATCAACATTGCTGATAAATTATCACATCAACTATTAATAGTTGACAGTAAAAAATTCTATGAGCCTAGTCTGATACAGGCATTGCTGAATTTTTTAAAATAATGAAATAAGTACATATAAAAGACTGTATACATCATAAACACATATCTCCATATAATGCATCAGCATCATGCATATGACATTTTCACTATCGCAAAAGCCAAGCTTAGGTTCCTTCCCCAACACGACTCCCTCCCCATTTAGTTACTACACAGACTTCTAAAGCTATGGTTTAATCTTGCTTGCCTTTTTTTTTTTCTTTGAGATGGAGTCTTCCTCTGTCACCCAGGCTGGATTGCAGCGGCATATTGGCTTACTGAAACCTCTGCCTCGCAGGTTCAAGCAATTCTCCTGCCTCAGCCTCCCAAGTAGCTGGGACTACAGGTATGTGCCACCCTGCCTGGGTAAATTTTGTATTTTTAGTAGAGAAGAGATTTTACCATATTGGCCAGGCTGGTCTTGAACTCCTGATCTCAAGTGATCTGCCCACCTGTCTCCCAAAGTGTTGGGATTACAGATGTGAGCCACTGCGCCCAGCCAGTTTTGCTTGTTTGACTTTATGTAAGGGGAATCATTTATATATCATCACAGTATATATTCTCTCATGTTGAATTTGCTGTGCTCAAAGTAATGTTTGTAAAATCTTTTCACATTGTATAGTTTTATTCATCATAACTGCTGTATGGTATTTCACAAAATGAGTATACCACAATTTCTACTATGAATGGACATTTGAGTTGCTTCCATTTGGAGGCCATTACAAATAAGGCTGTTATCAACACTCTTTAAATATTGTTTTGTCCACATGTGCTTGCATTTCTGTTGGTATAGGCCTAGGGATGGAATTGCTGGATCACAGGGTAGGTGTTTATTTCAATTTGTATTTTCTTCATTACTAATGAGGTTGAGTACCTTTCATAGGTATATTCACTATTTGGTTTTCTCTTTTTATACAAGAGGCATCTTGAATTGTCTCTTTTTTTTTATCAGTTTGTACAAGTTTTTCGTGTGTTTTGGACACAGGTTGCTCACGTTTACATATGTTGCAAATATCTGGCTTTCCCCCCCTCTTTTAATAATGTCTTTTAATGAACAAACACCCTTACTTTAATGTAATATAATTCAATTTATCAACATTTTCCTCTATTGTTAGTGATCTTTGTGTCATTTAATAAATTTTTTCTCTTGCCTCACATCATGAAGAGATTTTCTTATTTTATCTTATGGAAGCTTTATTATTTTACCCTTTACATTTGGAACTACCATACACTGAGCATTGATTTTTATGTGTGCTGTGACATAATGATCAAGTTTCTCTTTTTCTCCCCAGACAGTTACTCAATAGACTGAGCACTATTTACTGAATGATCCTTTCTCTACTGCTGTACAGTGCTAGCTTGCAAGATGGAATGTCCAAGTATGTGTGGATCTTTTGAGGACTCTTTTCTGTAGTCTATTTGTTTACCCTGACATCAATACCGCACTGTCTTAATTACTGTAGCTTAATTACCTATAAGTCTTGATATCTGGTAGAATAAGTCCTTAGGCGTTAGGCTATTTATGGCCTTTTGTATTTCTGTATACATTTTAGAAGCCGCTCATAATTTTTTATTAAAATACACTGCTGTGATTTTTAATGGGGATTGCATATATTGGAGTTTATGTTTCATGGAGTTTTCTTCAATCTGCCAAGATGGAATATTCCCTCTATTTGTGTAGGTCTTCAGTAATTTCTCTCAATATATGTTATTTTCTCTGCAGAGGTCTTGTATGTATTTTGTTAGATTTATTCAAAAGTATTTGGTAGTTTTGTTGCTACTATGAAATGATTGCTCTAAATTTTTATTTTCTAATTTTAATGCTGGTATTGATTTCATAGCATGACCTTGTATCTAGCAACCTTGCAAAGCTCACTTATTATTTATGATATTTTAATTTTAATTATTATGGATTTTCTTTGCATATACAAATAACATTTGCAAACAATCATAGTTTTATCTCTTTCTACTCCTTATACCCTTGGTTTAATTTCTGTTATTATTGTAATTGTTAGGATTTCCATTAGAATGCTATAAAGAATTGGTGATTCCTTGCGTAATTCTCTTGTTCCTAGTCTCAGAGAGAAAGCGTTAAACATTTCACCATTTATTATCATGTTGACTTTTTATATGGCCCTGATGAAATTAAATAAATTATCTTCCTTTCTTAGTTCTTAAAGAGTCTTTTTTCATAAATAGATGTTTAATCTAATTAAATATTTTTAACCTATTGAGAGGTCAGCTATTTTATCTTTCATGGTATTAATATGGTGCATTACCCTGCCTGGCTCTTCCAATGTTAAACTTGTCTTGCGTTTCTAGAAATTATCCAACTTATTTTTGATCAATTGCACTTTTTATATATTGCTGTATTGAGTTTGCTAATATTCCTTTTAGGGTATTTGCATCTATTTTTGTAAGTAATATTGGACTGTAATTTTTTTTTGTATCAAGCTGATGGTGTCAAAATTATAAAACAAATTGGGAAATTTCCATTTTTCTCTTTTTTCTAGAATAGTCTGCATAATTGTCCTATTTCTTTCTCATACCTTTGATAAAATTTACCAGTAAAGCCCAACTTTTCTTTGTGGGAAAAAGTTGAATATAAATTTAAAAAATATTCATACAGGTTATTCATATATTTGATTTATTCTTGTATCAATTTTAGTAAGTTGTGCTTTTTAAGGAATTTGTCCATAACATGTAAAAATTCAAGTTTATTGCATAAAATTGTTTATGTTTTTCCTCTTATTGACTTTGTCCATCTGTGATGAAACTTTGCAGTCTGTGATAATATCCCCTTTTTATTTTATTTTATTTTTAAGACAGGATCTCACTCTGTAAGCCAGGCTGGAGTGCAGTGGTATAACCGGAGCTCACCGCAGTCTCGACCTCTGAGGCTCAGGCAATCTTCCTACCTCAGCCTCCTGAGTATTTGGGATGACAAGTGAGCACCACCATGCCTGGACATTTTTATTTTTTGTAGAAATGACATCTCATTATATTGCCAGGCTGGTCTCAAACTCCTGAGTGCAAGTGATCCTCCTGTTTTGGCCTTCCGAAGTGTTGCAATTACAGATGTGAACCACTGTGTCTGACCCTTTCTATTTTTCTTTTTCTTTTTTTTTTTTTTGAGACAGAGTTTCGCTCTTGTTACCCAGGCTGGAGTGCAATGGCGCGATCTCGGCTCACTGCAACCTCCGCCTCCCGGGTTCAGGCAATTCTCCTGCCTCAGCCTCCCGAGTAGCTGGGATTACAGGCATGCACCACCATGCCTGGCTAATTTTGTATTTTTAGTAGAGATGGGGTTTCTCCAGGTTGGTCAGGCTGGTTTCAAACTCCCAACCTTAGGTGATCCACCCGCCTCAGCCTCCCAAAGTGCTGGGAATATTTTTTAAATTTTATATTCAACTTTTTCCCACAAAGAAAAGTTGGGCTTTACTGGTAAATTTTATCAAACATATGAGAAAGAAATAGGACAATTATGCAGACTATTCTAGAGGAAAGAGAAAAACGGATATTTCCCAATTTGTTTTATAATTTTGACACCATCAACTTGATATGAAAAAAAATTACAGTCCAATATTACTTACAAAAATAGATGCAAATGTCCTAAAAGGAATATTAGTGCGGTATGAGCCACTTATTGTACTTTGTAATGAACAAACTTTTGGCCTACTGATTCTCTTTATTATCATTTGTATTATATTTCATTAATTTTGTTCTGCTTTACATTTTTGCCTCCTTCTGTCTCTTTTATTTAATTTGCCTTTCCTTTTCTAAAATCCTGAGTAGTATACTTAAGCCACTGATTTCCACTTTCTTTCCTAACATGCATTTCAGGCTGTACATTTTATTCTAAGTATAGTTCAGCTATATCCCACAAGTTTTAATATTATCAATGTTTACATCCAATTAAACTATTTTAAAATATTAATTGTGAGGGCTTTTTGGAAATTTACATTCCAAAATATAATTTTAGTAGTTTTAGAACTTCCAAGCATTTGGGTATTTTACAGTTACCTTTGTAAAAATTGATTTTTAGCTTATTTCCACCATGGTCCAAATTTGTTGGAAACTGTCTTTCTGATCTTGGCCCTACAATTCTGCACTGCCGTGGCACTTCTCAAATTACTGTATTAAGCTGGGAATCATACAGTTTAAGAAGGTCATTACATGTGCTGGGAACACACTTTTGAAACCTTAACCAGTGGTTCTCAACCTATCAGATGCAACACTACCGTATTAAAGACATATATTTGCAATATTCCTCTTGCTTTCCTAAAAAAAGTATAGATAATGTTCATTTTTAGGAAACAACACAATATCCTGTCACATGGAGGATAAATAAGTAAAAAGTAATTTGTAACAAAATAATATGCTTTTCAACCTGGAAGTGTTCAGGCATGACCTCACTGGAGATATGGCCAAGTTGGCAGATGTTTTCCTCTACTTACATTGAGTAAATAGGGATGTAAGAGAAGTAAGACAATACTGAAAGAATGTTTATTGTTGACACTTTTTCCTTATGCGTAACATTTTGAGATAGAGGCTAAATGAGCATATTTGTGTGCATATACAAGTACAATCAGTGTAACTGACAACTGCAAATGCAAAGCTGATAAAGGTGTGTTGCCTGTTGACTCAAATACCAGCAGCTGCGTTGTCATTGATGAAGGAATATTTCGAAGTGCTGAACAATTCTTGATAAAGTTCCGAAACAAACAAAGCACAATCTTCCCTCGATTTACATGGGAGTGGCATTCCTGGAAAATTCAGTATATTTTAAAACCATGCAAAATATCCTTTTAAAAAAAATATGTAAGATGTAGTTTAGGACCAAGGCTCAGGTAACTATAAAATTTTTTACCTACATAAATTTCTAGTGGAGTGTTTGAAATTTGTTTAGGACTATCTCCTTCATTGTGGGACATTTTCAGATTTCTCCCTTGCCTGCTAAATCCCAATAACACCTCCTCCCACTATCATTGTGACAGTCAATTCCTTCACACCCAACAAATTTTTCAACACTTCCCGGGCAGCACTGCTATCCTTGTTGAGAATGTGTACCTAGTTCACCTTAAGACAGAACTGCTCCTCTCATCCCTACTTTCTCTCCCAAATTCTGTAAAAGCCCAGCACAAGCACTGGGGAATACAGCAAACAATTTAGGAGGATTCCCATCTTTAAATTTATTTTTAATATTACTTTTTAAATGTCTTATCATGTTCCAAAAAGGATGTTTTGGTGAACTGCAAAGAGATACACTCATAGACAGGAAAATATCTGGTGGGGTGAAGAATGAAAGAGAAACAGGCAGGCAGAATAAAGCTGAAAGCTAAACTTAGTATGTAAAATACACACTCAGGGCTTGTACGCTCAATAAAGTTGAGAAGTAACTGGTTGTCAATTTAAAGAGGAATACTTGATCAGATACATAACTCTATGTTGATGAGATTAAAAACAAATTCTAGTCATCCTTCAGTACCTGTAGAAGATTAGCTCTAGGACCCTTGTGGATGTCAAAATCCACAGACGCTCAAGTCCCTTATGTAAAATGGCATAGTATTTGCATGTAACCTCTGCCCTTCCTCCTGTATTCTTTCATCTCTAGATTGCCTATAATATCTAATATAATATAAATACCATGGGAATAGTTGTTATACTACATGTTTCATTTGTATCATTTTTATTGTTTTGTTATTTTTTATTTTTTTAGAATGTTTTCAATCCACAATTGGTTGCAGAACCTGAAGATACAGAGGACTGACTATACTTTCAAGGTAAGGACATGGACTCTGGACCCAGACTGCCTACATTCAACTTGGCTTCACTTTTACAAGCTGTGGGACCTTGAGCTAATCACCACATGCTTCTGTCCTCTTACCTGTAACCGGATATCACTGCTCTAATACCACATAGATCTATTGTGAGATTAGATAAGTTTATGTACATAAAGTGCTTAGGGCAGTATACAGTAGTTACTTGTAAGCACTGTATAAGCATTTGCCAAATAAGCAGAAAAAGTTATCAGAGAAAACACAGTTTTTCCTAGCGGTTTCTTTCACTAGTAGATATGGAATTGAATAACCTCGATTGAAAACTCAGAGGAAACTTGACATTCATCAGTTCTAACCTGCTTGTGCTACACTGCAGGAAACTGCAGCCAGAGACTGAAAGTCTAGAGGCCAAGCTCACATATTAGTTGAGGATCCACAAGTTAGTTGTAGATCCCGGTCCTCTGGCTCCTTTCTGCTGCTGTTTCGGATATGTCAGCCTGTAGCTGGACTGGGGAGGGGTGCAGAGAAACAGCCTATTATCTCTCCTGCCCAGAGTGTCCACAGGTTCCAAAATTCCCCCTTCCCCCAATGATTCTAGAACACCCCAAACTCCCCTTTCTTCCTAAGGACAGAGGGCAAAGAATAAATCAGGTGTGAACGACCCCTAAACTCAAACCCTCAGGGAATGTGCAAACATATAATAGAGTTCCTTTAAATATAACAAATCTCCAACTTTGGGGAGGAGGGGGAATGGGTAGGTGGGAAGCAAAGGTTGTATATTTAGAATTTAAAATTGAATTGTCTAAACTGGCAGAGTCTGGCCACTTTCGAGATCTGAGACTGCACACAAAATGTGCTCTTCGAAGTAATGTGTTCCTTATGGCTGCTGGGAGCTGCAGACTCTGCACACAGAGGTGTAGGTAGTTAGATTTGTGTTTTCTGGGAAGCAAAGGCAAGTAAGTAGTGTTTACCATGGACCAGCTACATGCCTTGGTATTCAATTCGACACCCTCCTCCCTGTGTTAGAGGAAACATCTCTTCTCCTGCATTCTTCCCAGCCTGTAACAGGACTTTCTGCCCTCTGGGGGACTGGGAAATTATTTCCTGCCCCTCCCTCCTTTACTTTTTCCCAAGGGAAAGAATCAATTCTCTTCTTGGTGAGGTTGGAGAAGGGTCCTAAACATGGGCTCTCTTTTTTAGGCTGACTGCACACAGGGTGAGACTTTTTTTTTTTTTTTTTTTCATTTCTTCTGCTTTCCTATGGGAAAAACAGTTGAGTCCCAGCTCGGGATCTGGAGGCTGACGTCTCTTTTCTTGCTCTGCAGAATTCATGGATTTGAGGCACGCGTCTGACCTCCATGTTTCTGCACCACAGACTGTTCTCCTCGCCTGCAGGTCCAGACTCAGCTGAGTTTGTATCATTTTGAAAGTCATCTGGTTGCAGGTCCCCATTCAGGACTCCTACTTAACAACCAATAAAGCTGCTCTATTCATCTGTATTTGGCTGAAAAACCACTATTTCTCAATTGATTCAGAGCTAGAGAAGCTCTACTACCCAAGAGTTGAAATGGGTTTTAAAATGTAATCCAAGCATCTTAGTGTGCATGTAAAAAGCCAAAATCGCATGCCCCTCCTGCCGGCTGACCTGCCCAGAGCCCACCCAGGTCTTGGCCACATAATGATGTGCATTGCCCAAGGCGGCTTGATTGCCTGGTCTGACAGCTGGAGGAGCGGGGCTCTGCACCTGACCTCACTGTGTCTCGGCTTTGTTCAAGTAAACCCCTTGCCTTCAATTGTTCTGTGCCTAATGTTTTCACTCATTTAGAAACACCTGCATCTTTCTTCCCCTGGCAGTGCTCAGAGCCCTTTTCTTTGCTGGGGGCACTGTCACCAGTGTCTTGAGATATGTTCCTGTTCTGGATCTGACTCCAGTGGACGGGAACCGGCACGTAGGTCTGCTGCTTCCCTGCCTCCCATTCTTTCTGCTCCCACCAGGGTGCATACCTCTGTGAATTACAAGGCTGGACTTCCCTTAATATCAGACTCTATTAACTAGAACAATAGTTTTATCTCATCCTGTGATTCAGAGATGGTTGCTAGGGAAACCAGTGGGGATAGGTTTAATCTGTAAATCCTGTAATTGCTCTAAATTAGCAACAATTCATGCTCTTGCTTCAAAAGGATTTGGACTGAGCCGACTGGGAAGCAGGTGAGTGGGGAAGAATAGTCACAAGTTGGCTCCCCTTGTGATCTGTTCACAGTCCTCATACGGTGTTTTTTCCCACTGCTTTGCCAAAAAAGCTAAAGGGATTAAAGACGGAACACTGCAGTGCCCTTCTAATGGACCAGGAAAGCTAGAAAAACAAAATAATTTAGTTCTTCTCTTCTTACAGATTCAAGTGGTCAGAGCTGAGGGACTGCAGGCTGCACTGGTGGTGATGGAGGGAGATAAGAGGTAAATAATCCATTTTATTTTAAAATGGATTCAGAATTCTATAACTGTAGTTTATAGGGGGCTACTAACTCCAAATTAGGAGAAGCATGGTATTTGGAGAGTCTTATCATCAGAAGAGATGGGTGGTCTAAGCGTAGGAGCAGAGAGTCAGGTTTGGAGGCGCGCCCAGCATCGTCCCTGCTGAGCCTTTCCTTAATCCGCAGCAGTATTCAGTGGGTCACCTACATGCTGCTTGGGCACTGCCAAAAATGAAGAACTCGCTCCTTCCCAGGGCAGCCCTTTTTGTTTTAAAACAGCCCTGATTGTTAGGAAATCTGCCTTCAATTGAACTGAAAAACAGGGTGCCAGGGCAGGGGGGCACTGTTCCTCCTTCACTTGGCTGAGCTCACAGAGGTTTCATCATGACACATGCCCTGCCTCTGTCACAGGGCCCATACCCAGCAAGCCACACCGGCTCAAGGGCCCAGAACTATCCAGTCAGTTGAAAAGTCTCATTTTGAGGCACAGGAGAAAAGCAGCAGGGAAAACACTGAACATTCCTTGATGTAGTGTTTGATTAAGAGTAAAGGGCACAGCCTCTGTCTCTCGGGGCCCTGCAATATTTGTGATTAAAAAAAGCAAAACCAAAGTGCAGACTGTGTTGCCCAGGATAAATGTCACATGCAACTCTTCTTTATACAAAATGGTTCTGAAAATCATCACTACCATTATCAGTGGAGATTACTCAGTATTCTAGATGTAGTTAGTTATGCAAAGTCCAGGGAGGTCATTGTGCTATCTTTTGGAAGCATAATAGTTCCATTAGTGCAGCTGAATATCACATTTGCTCTGGGCAGCTGCATCCCACTGGTGAGGCATGTTGAGTGCTACAGTCAGTGAAAACTTGCAGGGTATTTCTCCTTTGTAGGTGCAATATCACATGATCACTAACCCCAGCTCTATTGGGACTATGGTGTCCAGGGACCCGCCTAGCTCCTTGCTTGCTTTTGCTGTCAAGTTTGTAAGTTCACCTTCTGCATTTTAAAATTCAGGATGGCAGGCTGGTGCGATGGCTCCCACCTATAATCCCACCACTTTGGGAGGCTGATGCAGGAGGATCTTTTGAGCCCAGGAGTTTGATCAAAACCAGCCAGGGAAATATAGGGAGATCTCATATCTACTAAAAAAAAAATTAAAAACTTAGCCAGGTGTGGTGGTGCATGCCCATAGCCCCAGTTACTCATGAGCCTGAGGTGGGAGGATGGCTTAACCCTGGGAGGTCAAGGATGCAGGTAGCCATAATCATGCCTCTGCACTCCAACCTGGGCAAAAAAAATGAGACCCTATCTCAATAAAATAAAATTTAGGATTGCAAGGACTGCAACCTGCTGTCTCTGGTTCTTTGTTACCTGTCCTGGTCTTTGAAGTCTTAGGAGGTCACTGCCTGTGCATAGTTGATGTATCTACATGGTCCCATTCTCTTCAGTTCTAATTTATCCAGACCAGCATGTTTAATGAGGTTAGATGTTGGATCTACCCTTTATTAATGTCTATTCTTTCTCTTCCAATTCATTGATAGAAAATTTGGAGGAAAGTCAGGAGCTGGGGAGTTTGCTTTCTTAGATCTGTTGAAGCAGCATAATTCATTTACCTAACAGCAGACTGCCCTCGTGAGAGGTAGCAATGCAAGATTTTGGAAAAAGACATCTAACCTGAGTGCTTATGTTTTGCCTTGTTTCATACTACTAGTTCTTATGCTACTTAATTGTTTTAAAACAGAGATTTGTATTTTAAAAAGGCACAATTTGCTAAATTCTCATTCAATTCAGTTCCTCTTAATGGCAAGTCTAGGTTTATATGCCACAAAGCCATAACCAGTGTGCACCTCATTGCAGAAAAAGAATCCAGGAAGAATGAAATGGTTTTGAGTAGGAACTTTGACAATTCCAAACTATGAAACAAAGGCAGAAATCACTGTTAGAAGGTCCTTAGCTTTCTAGAAAGTCCAAAGCTCGAATGAAAAAGGCATCTTGGTTTTCTCTATGAACCCTGCTCAAGGTTTACTAAGAAACCATCTACCATGTAAAACTGGGAAATACCCAAAAGATGTATTTCTTGGAAGGGAGGGGTGTTAGTGACTTCAGCCTCAGATTAAAGGAGCTGCTAGGAATGAGGGGTGGAAAGGCAGGTCCGGGTTCTGGGGCTGCATCCAGGGAAAACAGTCAGTACTGCACACGTTAACACCTGATGAGTGGACAGACACATGTCAGAAGAGAAGAGGAAAAAGGAAGGAATTCCGTGGGCTCCACAAAGAAAAGGACGTGGGATTGATGTGAGGGCGTGAGGGGTCAGAGAAGAGAAAAGATAGTGATGCATAATCACTTTTCTGCCTTTTTCTTTCAGAATAATGGTCCCTGCAATCAAAGTTTTGATATGAAAAACCAAGTACATGGCTCTGAAATTCCAGAATTCCTTGGTGTGGAGTTAGGATTAGGAAGAATCACAGCCAAAAACAACTAACAGTAACTCCCATAGCAATGCTCTATATCTAAGGTGTAGATACATCCATCATATATACGCTCTGGAGTGGTTTATGACATGGCCCTTAGAACCATTCATAAAGAGATAAATGACAGTGCAAAGCAGCCGGACTCAATGGCCAGGAGGGGAGTTAGCAGTGAGTGCTCCTGGGGAGATGCTGAGGCTGGGTGGGCAGAAGGTATGCGAGGGGGGCCAACGAAGCCCTCAGTGGGCCTGAGTGATAGTGTCCTCAGAATTTCTCAGTGTGTGTGACTTCTGCAGTTTGACTGTCTCTAAGGGAAGTTTGGACGATAAAGACAGCATCTTTGGGTAAGAGGTAAGACACCAGACCAGTGTCCTTCAGGTCTGGGACCCCACAGAGCAACAGCTGGGAAAGTGTAGTGTTACTGCAGCTAGAGCAATCAAAATTCCATTCCAGAAACGTGTCCCTTGCGAATCTAGGTACCTGCTGCTCGCTCACTGTTCAATGGAAGCAGATATTTCAGAGCGGGCAGCTCAGTGCTTCTCATGCATAGACAGGCTGCTTCCCACTTCGCCACCCAAGAAGCGCCTGGAAACGTGTGTGTGTGTGTGTGTGTGTGTGTGTGTGTGTGTGTGTGTGTGTTAGAGGCTACTAGTATAAAGTGTCCAGGACCAGAGATACTTAATGGAACACAAGCTCCATTCCTCAGAGCAAATACGGACTCCACTATAAAACAATGTGCTTTGGACCCTGTCAAGAGGAAATTCCCTTAAAAGAACTACATATACTTTAAGTTGGTTTCAGTTTGAATGTTTATATTCCAATGTTTCCTGCTTTTAAATTTAAAAGCTCTTAAAGTTAGAAACTACAGATTTGCATAAAGAAAATGACCAACATAATCCTTATTCCTACTATTTATTAATATGTTGGCATCTATTAATATGTCAATGTCTTTCCATTTATGAAAAGAAGACACAATCACTGTGTCTTCAGTCAGCTCTTTTTAATGACTACATTGTGAATCATCTTCATTGCCTTTTGTATTCAGTTGCTGCCTAATACTGTATTTTATGGCTGTACCATTGTTTATCCTCCATTATTAAATAGCTTGGTGGCTTTTTTTTTTTTTTTGCTATTAACACAATGTGGCAATTTATCTTTTCTTCAGAAGGGTTTTTTATTGTCAGAGAGCAAAAGGATGTTTAACAGCTGAAAGGTAAGAGGGTAGGTAGGAGTGACAGGAGTTTAGGATCTACAATCAGAATACATTGCTTCAAGTCCCGACTCTGCCACTTACTAATCATGTGACCTTAAGCCAGTCAGCTCAATCTCTCTGTGCCTCAGTATCCTCATCTGTAATGTGAGAATAACCATACAGGACAGCACAGGAGATTAACTGAGGAAATACACCTGAAAATACCTTTTAACTGTACCTCACTATGAGAGAGATGGGGGGAAACATTATCTTCCATTTACTGTGAATCTCTCATATGCCAGGCATTTTCCTGCATCTTACATGCTTTATTTTATTTGATCCTCACTGCAAACCTGTAAGGCAGGGGCGATTTTTTATTACCCACATGTTACACAGAAAGGAAATGAGACACATGGAGGATCCACCCCACCATAGGCACAACAGTATGAGTGGCAGAACAGCGATTCAGACCCAGGTCTGCCGGACCCACATCCCAGGCTCTGAGGTGGCTACGGGGCAGAAGAGAAGCGCACTCCACAGTGTGGCAGAAGGACAGCTCCAGAGCCTTCCAGACCCAGCTCCAGGGGAGACGAAGAGAAGCACTGGCTGGGGACATTCCTGAGGCCAAAAAGCTTCTGACAGCCTGCTCACAGTCTTGATTCAGGGGGTCTGTTATTAGTCTTTAAAATGGGGACCACAGTCCTCATATGTGTACAATATTTGTGCACTCCAGAGCGCTTTCCCTTCTGACAATAGCTCTGTGCTGTGGGTGGGCAGGAATCTCATGAGGGAGCAGTGGCTCTTAAAGCATCATCCTACACCTCAGGACAGGGAAAACTGGAACTCTGGATGCCTGATCCCAAATCACTTGAAGTTTGAATAATCCCACCTTATTGGAAAAAAAAAAACCTGGCTTTTCTACTTGGTATCTGTGTAACTTTGGGTAATTAATTTCATTACTCAGATTTTCAGTTTCTTCATTTTTAAAAAGAGATCAAAAACAGGAATAATGTTTATGTCGAGGATTGTCCTAAAATCCAAATGAGGTCACGGAGGACATTAAAAATGTCTACTGCTGTGTCCCTCCCACCTCTAAGGCGTGTACCCACACCAGCCATCCAGCCCCTAGTATGCCATGACCTATACCATATGCCCCTTCCCATTCCACTGTAGGTGACTGGACTGAAGTGGGCAATTAGCCTTGAAGGAATTCATCAAATGCTGAACTGAATCACTTGTATTCTGCTTTTGAGATTTTTTTTTCACTGAGAACTGAGTTTTTAATTCTACTTAGCTTTCATTAATTTTAACTTAATAGCCACATGGAGCTAGGGGTGACCGTAATGTGCAGCTAAAGGTTATAAGTTTATTCTCTGGGAAAAGTAAAACAGAAGTCAAAGAACATTTAAACAAATTGAGAGCTTTTCTTATCATGGGGAAAATTGGCACACTAAAGATGCCATGGACTCCGAGAAAGGCCAAAAAAAATAAAATAAAATATGAGGAAAAGAAATGGTAATGCCTGGAGGGGCCCATGTTAGCAGAATTCAATATGAAAGTATTAAAGAGAACTTCTGGTACTATGAGGAACGAAATATTAGAAATGTTTCGTACTATAAAATAAAGACAACCCAATAAAGCATACTTTTAATTTTCTTCCAAGGCTTGCAAGAAATTATGTACTACTCTTGCACTACCACCTCCACCCCCCAAAAAGACCAGAACATACAGCAATAAGTGCCAAGCATAGGTGAAAGGCACGGTTGCCCTGCTGGCAATCAAAAGCCAGCTAGTGAGATGGAGAGATTAAGCCTGGGATCCCAGCAGTGGGCTAAAGTTTTTATAGGTGGGAACCCTTTGGCTCTCAACAACAAAAAATCTCCTCTCTAGAGAAAATCTTCCTCAGTTTGGGTCCTTAGATTTCCATGGATTAAACAACAATATATGAGCACTCAATAAAATATAATCAATGAAATATAATCAAACACACAAGAAAGAATCCACTATAAGCAAGAGGCACAAGAGATGAGGTGTGCTATATTTCAACCTCTAAGAACTTTAAATATTGGAATGGTAATATATGAACTGTATAATAGTTATTATAAAATTCATTCAAAAATATAAAGTCACTAAAATATATCATTGCATATAAAAGAATAAGCATGCAATGATAGACTATAAAAAATGAAATGGTAGATTTGAAAAAGACTTAAACATAACTTTTAGAAATGAAAAATGTTCTTAAAACAGCAGAAGAAGGAATTAGTGAAGTGGAAAATAGTGTTGAAATTAAACAGAATATAGCACAGGAAAACAAGACGATAAATAAGAAAGAAGGATCAATAATTATTATAGGTTTCAAATAAAGATAATAGATTGAACACATACATCTAATCTTACTCCCTTCCCCAAACCTATTAAAACTACAGCAAAGGGATTTTAAACAATCATATAAACCCACAAATATGGGCAAAATAAGATGGGACAACAGCAACAAACTTCTGGGAAATGGAAGGCAAATGAAGAACTGATAACAGAGTTATCAGAGCTAAGAAAACCAAATTGGTGGTGGGGAAAGCATTGAAGCAACTGAATTTGCCCTGGAACACAACACAAAGGAAAAGTAAAAGAAAGAATATAATATAGTAAGGAGCATAAATTAGTATAATAGGAATTAAAGATAAAATAGAGAACTACCAAATCAAAAGTTCTTTAAAAAGACTATTAAAAATAGATTAGTAAGATTAAGAAAAGAGAAGGTATAAATAGGTATGAACAAAGGAACACAGCTACAGATAGGCAACATTAAATTTTAAGATTTTAAAAAGACTTAAGTTTAAAAAATATTTTAAGTACAAAAAGATAGTAAGAATAATTTACACTACTTTATGTCTATACATTAGAAACAATTTAGAATGCCCAGAAAAATATAACTTATTAAAGTGATTGCAGAAGAAATAGAAAAGCTAAATAGCCTTATAATCATTAAATAAGTTGAAACAGTAGTCTAAAATTTTTCTGCAAAGAAAATAAAAATTTCAATAATTTTAGTGACATTATTATTGCATTAAATAAGAAAACAAATGTTCAAGAAGAGCTAAGACATTCTGAAGACAAACAGGATTAAGGAATGTGCTTTTCTATATTGCAAGTCTTATTAAAAAGCTAAAGTAATTAAAACAGTATGGTTTTGAAGTAAGGATAATCAAATTGACCAATGGAACAGACTAAGAAGCCCCCAAACCTCTCTCTCGCTCTCTTTTTGTATGTGTGTGTGTGTATGTGTGTGTGTGTGTATGTGTGTGTATGTGTGTGTGTGTGTATGTATATATATATTTGCTATATATAAACATATATATTTATATATAAACATATATATATAAACATTTATAAAATATGTTTATATTTTATTCCTATGTATATTTCTAAATGTATTTCTATATAGATATACAAACAAAAAAGTTTATTTATATTTTATTTCTATATAGAAACATATAAAAATTTCTATCCATATAAAATATATGCTTATATATAAATAAAATTTATGTTTATTATATATAAAATATATATTTATATTTATATAGCAAATATATATATTTGCTCAGTGAAAGATGTGTTGTAGATCATGAGTTGCTCATTCAATACATGGTGCTGAGAGCATCAGTTATCATACAGGAAAAAAATTAATGAAGCTCCTTATTCTCTACTATACAAAAATTAATTTTTGGTGGAATAGAATTTTAATATAGAAGGCAAAAGTATAAAACTTTTAGAACTTTTAGAATAAATTTAGAATATTTTTATAATCTTGGAATTTAAAGAATTGTTTAAAAAGACACAAAAAGTACCCATTAAAGAAGAAAACATTGGTAAATCAACTGTACAAATATCATCAGAAGGTACCATAAATGAAAATATAAGAAATTCATATCCAGATTAATCTTGATCATGGTCTTACAGCTTCCAGAACTGTAGGAAGTAAACGTCTGTTGTTTAAGCCACTCTGTCTACAGTATTTTTGTTATAGTAGCCTGAGCTAGGACAGCTTTAGATAAGCCTTTGGGGACCACAGATGAACCTACATCACTTGGTTCTAGAATGTTCTGTGGTTTCAGCGTAGAAACCAGAGAATAACTAAGGCTGGGAGAAAGAAGGACCACACTGATGGGAGAAGTTGGTAACAAGAGGTAAGAAGTGGGCAACCTGGATGCTAATTCTTGTTTTTTCCTTCCCCATCCTCATGGCTGTGGCCAAATCACTGGGCCTGTTGTCTTTTCTGTAAAGAGAGGGGCTCATTTCTCATTTGGATTCAACCTTTCTAATGGAGCATTTAAACATGGAGGAGGAATTTTTTGGTTGTCACGAGGATCGAGGAACCCTGCTGGCTAAGTATCCTCCAATGTGTGAGACAGTTGTATCCTAAATGCCAGTGTGCCATTGAGAAACATAATCTCTAACGATGTACTGGTGGGTCAGGAAACATTTGGATACTTTATCAAGCATGTGGGTCTCCACCCAAACGCACGGGTCAGATGGCTGCTCTCCAAAGATGAGGCTCTTTAGGGCTGCATATGAGATGCTCTGTTCTCATTTATGTCCTGCTGGGGGGCTGACTCGTCCTTGCAGGAATAAGATTTAGCTGAATTTGATTGAAGCAGACAATCACAAACCATGTGCTCCCTTGTTCTGACAGCCAGCAGGAGCAGAAAAATGGCTCTGGTACTAACTTCCATTCTCAGAACCCTGCGTGCAGTGTTTTATCATCGTTCTGTTCAAAGCTAAGCAGTGCCCTCCTTGGGACACTCTAGGAATGTACAGTGTTAGCTGCTCTGAGAAAATGCCTTGGCCACAAGGTGAAAATACTCTCTGGCTGTGGCTTGAGCCAACTGGGTCAGCGCCAGCCTGTGCCGATATCTCTGTGGACAGAGGAGTCCCCGTGGGAGAAGACAGCCCATGCCGGGGTGCGTAGATTGATGAGAGGAGTGAGAACTGTATTTCTGTGCTTACTCACTCTCCTGGACAGGTGTTTTTGTGCATTGCACAAGCTGTACATCAATACCTAGCGGCTGGACCCTCTCATTCTCTACCAGTTCGGCAATCTACATTTGGCTTCATTCAGGAGGGTCTTTCCCCATGGTTGCCTAAACCCAAAAGCAAAATGTATGGGTCCTGGGCTACTTCTCAGGCTCTAGTTCCAAAGAACGGGCCCAGGTATCCAGACTCCACAGCCTGACATTCACTGCTACGTACACTCTGGTTCCAATTTGCTTGTCTACTCACCCTACCCCAGACTCTCTGCTAAACAGGCTACTTTAGTCATTGCCTCCCAAATAATGCTTGTGAAGTTGCATCTCCAGATTCTCATACTTTTCCCATATCCTCACCTTTTACCCAGCTATTTCAAGGCTTGGCACATTTTCAGTTCTCTGGGAAGCCCTCTCAATTGCCCCCGCTCGGGAACTACTGAAAAATGTCATCCTACTTCCCATTGGTCACTGACTGCATAGTTCATGTGTTGGGAACCTTGAATCTTAAGATTTTAAGTTCCTTGAAGGTGTAAACCTAATGAGAAAACTTGGCCTTGAGGCCCCTCTACTTAAGAATCATTTAAAGCAATGACCATGGAAACAAATACCTGTCCTCTTGGATCAAAACAAACAAACAAACTGTTAAAGAGCAAGGAATTTGGCGCCCGTCCTAGGTTGGCAGTGAGAGCATCAGAACAGGCTTGAGGCCAAATCCATGAACCTCATATAGTTAGTTGCCCCTGAACTTGGCGTGGAATGCCTTGGCCCATATTAAAGAAAGTGCTTCACTCTGGGGACACTGGTCAGCCTGTGGCCACGCTCCTTAGTGGCACCACAGGAAGCCTTCTCTCTCCCTCTGAGACCATATGGACTGAAGCTCTGGGATTACTCACTTCCTGAGTCATCCAACCTCACGTGGCCATAAAAACATCCACGTCCTTTTAGGTGGAGGCCTTACAGATAGGTTGTTGAGTCAGATTTATGGGTTTTGGAAAGAGATGCTTTGGATGGTCTTAAAACCTTTGGCGAGTTTGCAGGAGTCCTGGACTCAAGTCCACCACCGCTCAGAACAGTGAATGTTTCAGAAAATGCCTGGAAAAGAGCATCTCTTTACTGAATGACCTTAGTAGTGTACTCATTCCCCAGGTAAATACTGAGCCACTCTGTGTTCCAGGCACAGTTCTAGTTTCTGGGAATATACCTGGGAGCAAAACAGACAGAAATCCTGCCCTTAGGAGCCTCCACTCCAGTTCCTGGTTAAGTCTGTTTTTCACATGATCCAAGCACTTTGGCAGGTGTTAGGGCTGTAGGAGGGATGGCACGGGAGCCCCTTGGGTAGGGGACATGGCAGACACCTCTCTCAGAAACACTGCCTCAAGCCTCATTGTTCAAATCTGGTGTGTAGACTGGCATCATCCGCACCTCCAGGGATCATAGTAGAAATGCACCATCTTATGCCCTTCTCAAGACCTTCTGAGTAAGAAACTGCACTTTGTAATAAGATCCCAGGTGAACTGTGCACAGGGAAAGGCTTGAAAAGCCTTACTACAGGACACCAAATCCCACGAGCTGTCCTGCAGTAAAAGGGAGCAGAATGAGAAAATGCATCTGGGAAGGCGTATCCCATGCCTCCCTTGCAGATTCGGAAAGGCTGTGGGCTAAAGACTGAGATCCCCTCAGAAAGAAATGTGCTTAAAATCCAATGCTCCTCCAACATCTTTGATGGCTCAACCACAAACTACCGACTGTAATCACTCAACAGAGCCAGCATCCTGTGAAACACACCCTGGGAAAACCTGCAGTGGACCCTCTGGCATTCACAGATGCAACTCTCTTGGCTTCAGTGACTGCAGGTGGAGTGAGCCCATGGGGTGATAACTGGCAGTTTTGCTGAGGAACAAATCTGAACCATGCCTCTTGCCAGGCTGGGACTCTGGGCCAAGGTCTCAGCTTGGGATAGGGTGAGGATGGGTGGGCTAGAAAGATGGAGGGGAACCCAGAGACTGCCAACTGCTGGTTAACTTGTGGCATAAGGAGGATAGATACAGAAAACACTGCATTCCATAGCTGAAATGTGTATTTGGAGAAATATAGGAGCCAATAAAAGCATGCCCTATTTGTTATTTGGGGGATTCAAGGTCATGGTGATATATATTCCACAGGTGTCAAGAATCTGTGATGATGATGATGATGATGGCAAAGACAAGGACAGATAACTTTTTAAAACTTACTATATACCGGCTGGCGCGGTGGCTCACACCTGTAATCCCAGCACTTTGGGAGGCCAAGGTGGGCGGATCATGAGATCAAGAGATCAAGACCATCCTGGCCAACATAGTGAAACCCCGTCTCTACTAAAATATAAAAAATTAGCTGGGCATGGTGGCGTGCGTCTGTAATCCCAGCTTCTTGGGAGGCTGAGGCAGGAGAATTGCTTGAACCCGGGAGGCGGAGGTTGCAGTGAGTGGAGATCGTGCCACTGCACTCCAGCCTGGGGCCTGGCGACAGAACGAGACTCTGTCTAAAAAAAACTTACTATATACTAAGCACTGTCCTAATTCATATGTTTCCTACAGCGAAGCTAAGTGGTATAATCCTCATTTCTGCAGATGAAGAAATTGAGGTACAGTGCTGGCTCCTTGTTTTAATCCCTTTCACGCTGAATATGACTTCTGAGACCTAGGTGACAGGCAACTGACTGGCACAGACTCAACTGGCCAGATGATGGAGTGGCCACTTAATCCCCCTAGCCAGCCCCTGAAAGCTGAGAGCCCTGCTCAGAGCCCCATCCCAGAAGTGGGCAAGATTCAAATTTGTGTCTTAGCAAAACTGCCGATTATCACTCCATGGGCTTATTCCTTCTGGAACAGGGTAAAGCAAGAATACAGAATCCCCTTGGAGGAATGTCCACACTGTTCCCAATTTGTGGATGCCATTTAGGAGTGAAGCAGCCCTAACTGGGCAGGTACAGGCTGGAATGACCTTAGAGGTGGGTCTGGGAGGGGACCCCTGGTTTGCTCTGGGCCAGGCATAGAAGACTCAGCACAGTGCTGGATTGCAGAGAGAACTACGCTTGGATTGTAAGGTCTGGGATCTCATCACAATGCTGGTCTGCAGCTACTGTGTGGCCTGTGACAGGCCTCTTGCCCTGGGTCTGTCTTCTCAATGTTGGAAAATAGGATACACCCCCAACACCTGGTCCTGGGCTGCACCCTGGGTTTCAAGTCAATGACAGCTTTTCAGGAGGTCCCTCCAGGGCTCCTTGGGGGTCATGGCTGCTGCAGCCTGGCAAATCCAGATCATGTGAGAGGTGGCTTAACCCTCCCTCTCTCAGGGACATACAAAAGATCTGTTGCTTCCAAATTGCACCAACACACATGCCTAGAATCCTTGTAATGAAGCCGGAACTCCTGCTGTGTGGTCAGACAAACTCAAGGATAAACTGCCCCTGCTTCTTGGGATGACACTAGGAATTTGCCATTCTTCACTAGGCAGTCCCTGGGCCTAGAGCTTACAGTTTAGGTTTCTCTCACTTTGAGACAAAGTATAGGGTGGTGATATTGAAGTCAGCCGGGCACAGTCTTGAGTGCTGGCTGTGTGACACAGGACAAGTCACTCAACCTCTCTGAGCTCCAGCGTGCTCATTGGTAAATGGTATAAATGAACGTACGTATGTCATGGGACTGCTGTGAGGCGCTGGCACATTATCAGTGCTTTGTAAAGAGCAGCTATTACCCTTGCTGCTGCTTGGACATTGGTTACGAAAGGGGAATAGTTTTAAAATTTGCTTTTTAAAAAACATCAACAAATTTCTGAAGGCATTTTCAAGTGAAACTTTAAAACATATTTTTCTCTTCTTAAAAAGTTAAAATTTTTGTATGAGGTTAGGCACAATTTTTTAATTAACAAATAGCAATCAAGGGCTTCTGAACAATTCCAAGGACTCCCCTGGTGCTCTATTCCACTCGTCTTCCACCCTCTCCCTCCTGGCAGCAATCGCTAGCATTTCTGTACGACTCACCCTGGAGGCCGGCAGGCTCTGCGCCTCCCGGTCAGGAGCTGCCAGCTCTCCCCTGCAGCTGAAGCCTTCTTGCTGTAAGTTGTCCCTTTGTCCCAGAGCACTCACCCTAACTGGGAAATCCCTCATTTCTTCATTAACTTCCAGGTTGCTCCCTGCTCATTAATGCGGAGCTGGAGAAGCAGGGTGCACAGGACCTTACAACAGGGACCGGGAGCAGCAGCTCGGAGATTCCGCCCAACTTTGGCTTCCTTGTCCCAGGGCCAGCATCAGGGAGGGAGGAAGAGGACAGGGACAACAATCAGCAGGGTCTGTGTAAGCACACACTTCTCATTCAGGACTCCTCTGACCACCATAGGGGGTAAGGCCAGGCTCACGGCCACACAGCAGTTGAGCCAGAAGAGCAGTGTTTTTGCTTTTTCATGTAACAATGGCACCATCTATACAAAATTTTAGGAAGGAAGGGCAATGCATCTATCAGAACTCACTGGTGACAGGAGCAGCAGGAGCTAAATTGGCTGAGCTGAAACAGGCTGTTACTTCCTAGCTGTGTGACCTTAGGGAAATCACCCAACCTCTCTGTGCCAACAATTGTGCCTACCTCACAGGATTCATTTAAGGAGTAAGTAAGTTGATAAATACCAAGTGATTAAAATCCTCCCTGGCACATCCATAGACTTTATATATGCTAGATATTATGTTTGTCGTTGTTAAGCCTCATGAAGGCAGGAGCCTTTGTCTATTTTGGTTACTGGTCTGTGTTAGAACAGTGCCTCATCTTAATAGGTGCTCTATAAACCGTCGTTGGGTGAATAAATCAATTTTCAAGGTAGAACTCTTTTGCAATGCAGCCATTGTTTATCTTGGCCAGCAGAGGGCAGCAAATGGCTGTGACTGATTAACTGTGGGCAAAGGTGGTTTTAATTTTGAAAGTTACCAGAACTGTCCCTCCTGAGCCAGTTCGGGTAATACAAGGTGGCCATGAAGCTGTACAACTGCCCCGATCCCTGCCACCCACCTTTGTGCAGGTTAGAATGATTGTCAGGCATTCAACTCACAAAAAATCTTGGTTCCATTTCTTCTCAAGTTACTTTCAATTTCATTCCATCTTCCCTCCCTTCCAGGATCCCTGCTTTTCCTCCTCTCTCCTTTTTCTCTAATCTGCTTCCCCCCACCCCCCACACTCACTCCGATGCATCAAGCTAGTGTGCTGTACTTACTCCCAAATTTTATCTGTACAACTGCAGCTTGTACTGCAAACCATGACGTCTAGAGTAAATCCTCACACAATATTCTTCCCAACCGATGAATGCTGCTAAATGTAGTATAATTTTTTAAAAACATGTGATTTGAAAACTCTAGACCCAGAGAGGTACTATAGTTTGGCCAAGAACACACAGCAGCAATTGGGGTAATGTTAGAGCCGTAGCCTCGGCCTTCTGCTGTCCATTACATAGCCCCATCACACACACTCTTTTGCCAAAACAAGGCTCTTGGGGTCCCTGTTTGCCATCCAGTCAATGCAGCCATCAGCTTCTGGCCCCAGACACCTTCCCCTGCACTGTAGCACAGAGGAGCAGACTGCTTTGGAGGGCAGCTCCCTGGAAGCTCCAGGGACCCTGGCCAGGCGGCCACTGCCACTAACTTCCTCAGCTCACGTAGCCCCTGCCTGCCGCTCCCCTGCCTGCGGCTCCCCTGCCTGCCGCTCCCCTGCCTGCGGCTCCCCTGTCTGCGGCTCCCCTGCCTGCCGCTCCCCTGCCTGCCGCTCCCCTGCCTGCCGCTCCCCTGTCTGCCGCTCCCCTGCCTGCCGCTCCCCTGCCTGCCGCTCCCCTGTCTGCCGCTCCCCAGTCTGCGGCTCGGGTCTTCGCTCTGTGCTGCAGCGCAAGTTCATCCACCCCGGATGGTGCACTTCATTGTCACGGGCAGGACCCTCACTGGCAGTCTGAGGTGAGTTCCTGAGGAGCCTCTGGGTCTTGATGGTGGCTTCTGGCACCACTTGTGGATGGAACGGCTCCAACACCCAAGCCTCACCACTGCTCCAGGGGTCACCCAGCGAAATGATCTCCCCAGCTTGCTAGATCCTGTCCTTCCTTCCCAATTATGATCCAAAAAGTCACACGGGGATAACCACCTGGAAAAAATATTTAGTTGATCTCCCAATTGGGAAACAAATTCTTTATGATGTGATGAGTTAAAAAAAAACTTAAGGGAATTTTTTAAACTAGAAAAAATATGGGTGATTTCTTACCTTTATTATCTCAGGGAATATTTCTTTAAGCATGAAGGCAAAACCAGAAATTATAAAAGAAAAAATATACAGGTTGACTACCTAGAAATTAAAAAGCTCTATATCCTGGTAAACATCTAAATCAAAATTAAAAGCAAATGACAAATGGAGAAAAGTTTAGCTGCACATGGAACAGGCAAAGGATGAATATAGTAAATCAGAGTCTCAGAGGAAAATGGATAAAGAATCTGAACTAACTTAATATGACGTCATAGGAATATGAAGCACGCTCCATGTTACTGGTAATGAAGTAAATGCAAAATTCAACTTTTGCATCTTGAAGTTGCAAATTTCAAAACTACATAGTGTCAGTGGGGATGTGGGGCCACAGGCTCTCTCATTCTGCTGTTGGCGCAGTTCTGGAGGGCTCTATGTGCTTACGGGTATCCATGGTAATGCTTTTCTGTGTAGCCTTCATCACTATTGATGCATTTATTACCTACTGCCTCCTTCCTCCTGCCTTCCTTTACCAGGTCAGTAGACTTCATGATGATAGGGACATTGTTTACTGATCTGCCCCAAATGATTAGAATGGCAGCTGGCTGGGCAGGGCACAGTGACTCACGCCTGTAATCCCAGCACTTTGGGAGGCTGAGGTGGGCGAATAAGGAGGGCAGGAGTTCAAGACCAGCCTAGTCAACATGTGAAACCCTGTCTCTACTAAAACCACAAGAAATTAGCTGGGCGTGGTGGTGGGTGCCTGTAATCCCATTACTCAGGCGGTTGAGGCAGGAGAATTGCTTGAACCTGGAAGGCAGAGGTTGTAGTGAGCCAAGATCATGCCATTGTACTCCAGCCTGGGCAACAGTGTGAGACTCCATCTCAAAAAAACAAACAAAAACAAAAACAATAGCACCCAGCCCCAAATTAGATGTTCAACATATGCTTATTGAATGAATAATTGATCTTTAACCCAGTAACTCTTAGGAACTGATACTAAGGCAACAATGAGTGATGTCCAAAAAAGATTTATATCCAGGGATGTTCATTTCAATATATATTGTAGTTGAACTTTGCAAACCACTGAAATGTCCAATAATAGGGGATTAGTAAAAATTATGACACATCCTTAATAGAGATGATAGTGAAGTCATTAAAATCATGTTAGAGAAGACAACATAATATGCAGAGATTTCCTAGATGTAATATACTGTGAAAAGAGCAGGAATTACATCTATGTATAGATATAATTCCTAATTCCTGTCCAGAAATTCATTTTCTATGTATAATACCATCTTAATTCATATAAATCTGCATATATGTATGGAATAACGTGTAAGAGCATACTGATATTTGAACAGTACTTATCTTTGGATAGAGTAGTTGTAAAAAGTTTACAAGTTTTTCTTTACTCTTTAATGTATTTTTGCAAAGTTTCTGCAATAAGACCATTTTGTTTTTGAGACTGGATTAAAAACAGTGTAGCAGAGGCCATGCGTGCCTCACCCTTACTCCTCAAGCTGGCCCTAGTTCCAAGCAGCTAAGCACCTGGGGATGGCTCTCTACGTTCAAAGGGTGGGAGTGAGTGGGTCTCTCTCACAGCTGCCTCTGCCCCAGGGGCAACTCTGCAGCGTGTTCCTCACAGCTTGGCAGAGGCTCCTGGCAGTGGACCTTAGTGGCTGTTCTTTGTGTCCCTTCTTCTCAGCCTCACTCCTCCATGCCACCTCAGTGCTTCCTGGCATCACCTTTCAAGCCAGCTACTTGCACACAAATCCTTGTCCCAGAGTCTGCTTTTAGGAGGAGCCCAGGCTAAAAGGCACAAATGCCATTTTTAAAATTCTGCTGGCTCTGTGTAAAGAAAGTTAGCCAAGCACGTGCTGTGGAAAGAGCTCCTGTCTTGGCTGTTCCTGTCTGTAGTTCACTTTCAATCTCAGCATCCCTGAGCTGAAGACAGATCTGACTTAACTGGGAGGGAAGACCAAAGGGTTTCTGGATACAGAGCCACCTGGGGAGCTCAGAGCCTCAGAAGAGGCAAAGATGTAAGTTATGAGAAGGGGTTGTGCAAATAATAAATGAAATCAATAAACCACCACCCCTGCGATGCCAGGACCTCGCTCACAGCCCATCTGCATCAAGCGCCTACCACTGCCGCAGGATGCCATTAACACCTACTCTCCTTTATGAGGCTTAGAATCAGGGCTGCTGAGGACTTCAGAAATCATCTCCTTCAGGTGGGGTAGAGGAGAGGGGTAGAGGAGAGGGGTAGCCTTCCTGAGGGTCCCAGAGCAAGAGTTAGAGGCAGAGCCAGGACCAGAACTTAACTGAAAAGTGGTAATCCAAGGTCTGACTGTGTTCTGAGGATTTGCTCAGTGATGGATGTCATTCTCGATTTGGCCAGAAGAGGGCAGATACTTGCCATTCATGGAGGTGAAGAGCTTGTTTTTAAGGCTGGACTAACATCTCCCAATAAGGTCATTTGGTTCTAGTGAGAGTTGCAGCTCACAACATTCTTCTGCTGTGAATATGCTACTGAAAAGACACTGAAGTTCAGAGACTGAAGTTCTTTTAGTTCCGACTCTGGCACTGTAATAGGTGACCTTGCATAGGTCACTTCACCTCTCTAAGTCTCACTTCTTTACTCATGAAGTAAGATCTCTGCTCTGAGCTGGGCACGGTGGCTCATGTCTGTAATCCCAGAACTTTGGGAGGCCGAGGTGGGTGTATCACTTAAGGTCAGGAGTTCGAAACCAGCCTGTCCAACATGGTGAAAGGTGAAATCCTGTCTCTACTTAAAATACAAAATTAGCCGGGCATGTTGGTGCATGACTGTAATCCCAGCTACTCAGGAGGCTGAGGCAGGAGAATCTCTTGAATCTGGGAGGCAGAAGTTGTAGTGAGCCAAGATCGTGCCACTGTACTCCAGCCTGGGCAACAAGAGTAAAACTCCATCTCAAAAGAAAGAAAGAAAGAAAGAAAGATCTCTACTCTGTGACTGAGAAGGTGGCATTAGGGGGAAATATGTAATTTACAAAGTTACATATTACAACACACATCCCTGCTGCTAAATTGTGTGTGTGTGTGTGTGTGTGTGTGTGTGTGCTCGTGATGGAGAGAGCTGGACAAAGGAGGGAAGCCTTGGCCAAAGGAGGTTTTTCTGGTCTCAGGTGAATATATATATTTGTAAATTCTCCAGCAATTGAAACGAATCCACTTCATACTTGGAAAAGACTTAACCACTTTTACTTCTTTTTTTTTTTTTTTTTTTTTTGAGATGGAGTTTCGCTCTTGTCACCCAGGCTGGAGTGCAATGGCGCGATCTTGGCTCACCGCAACCTCCGCCTCCTGGGTTCAGGCAATTCTCTTGCCTCAGCCTCCCGAGTAGCTGGGATTACAGGCGCGCGCCACCATGCCCAGCTAATTTTTTGTATTTTTAGTAGAGATGGGGTTTCACCATGTTGACCAGGATGGTCTCGATCTCTTGACCTCGTGATCCACCCGCCTCGGCCTCCCAAAGTGCTGGGATTACAGGCGTGAGCCACCGCGCCCGGCCAACCACTTTTACTTCTATTTCAAACTGTACTTTTTTAAAAGCTAAAGTTGTCCCTTAACCTGTGTGTATGAGAAAAGTAAAATATAACAAGGATATATGTAAAGTTCTATCATTAAGTTAAAAATATTGCTGAATACAGAGAAAGTATTGGTAATACTAATTTTTAAAACTAAGGATTTGACTGGTTACTTGGTCATGAGAAGCAAAAAAGTGAGAATTATTTTTTTTAATCCTGTACCATTTTCCTAGGACATCAAGCCCTAGCACAGGAAGGGACATTTTCACACTAATCTGTGCCAGCTGGAGCAGTCCTGCCATCTGCTTATCATATTTTGGAACACTGGGAAGCTAGGATGCAGTTAACAGGTAAGTAGTAATGGGAGAACTTTCTAGAAACAGTGTCTGGAGACGGGGTTCAGGAACCGAGATGCTGAGCCTGGGGAGGGGAAGCGAAGACTTGAGTGGGGCAGGCCCTACAAAAAGGGATTCCATCAATCCAAATAAACAAAAGCCACAAAGAAAAAGTCTGGTCTCAATAGCAAAGGGCATTCTTTTCTGAGAGGTCAGTGTTGTCACAGGAGACAGAACATTCTGAACACTTCAAGACATGCTTAGAAGACCCCTCGATGTCAGCGGAAAAGGGGCTGCAAGATGTTACGTGAGAAACCAAGTTATCGCTGTACAACAAAATTAATCATGTATCAAAACATGATGGAGAGAGAGCCTGCAGAAGTGAGAGGTTCCCAGAGCACTACAGGAAATGGGACCTTGAAATACGGAAGAAAGTACAGGCTCATGAATGTCTGGACAACATACCAGCAAGTTGAGCCTGACCAACTGCACTGACATCCTGGTGAGTCGGCTTGACTCAAGAAGACGGGTTCCAAGTAATTCAGGGTCAGGCAGCAGAGAGAGATGGGGATTAGTCAAGGGTGTCCACTCGCTCACTCACCAGCTATCCCGATTGAATTCCCACACTACGCTAGGCACTTTTTAGGGAGCTGTGGACATTTCCTGTGGAGGCACAGGGTTAGGACATTATCTCTTCCAAGGATACAAATTTCTCTGTGCATTTATTCCTTGTCTACCAAAAACCTTCTATTTCCTCTTTTAACCTCCATGGTTACCTGCAAATAGGAAGGAAGGAAGTCTATGATGATGAATGGAGCCACGAGATATGTGTACTTTACTGTAAAAGATCACATAGAAATTCTAGTTTATAGATTCCCCAATGTGACCATTCAGACTTTGGGAGCCTGATTCAATTTGAAAGAGTACATAAAATATAGTTTCCAGAACTGTCAAGTTGAGGATGAGACCCAAGACCAGGGTGTGGCCACGATCCTGTGAATACTGGGAGGTCCCCCAGCCTCCCCTCACATTTCTCTTAAACTTTTCAAAGTTACCTCCTGGGACCCCAGAGGTGTGAATTCCAAGGGCCCTATCAGCTCTGAGATTATAGACTGAACTTAGGCACCAGAATTGCTAGAATCTCAGTTCTGAGAAATGGTTAAAACTACCCTTGGCAGTCACATGTGGAGCCACTTATTTCATTACTATGGATATTTTCTTGTAGGACCAATGCATAGTGAAAACCCAATGGGATAACCAACATAAAACTGATTTTGTTTTCTATTAGATATAGAAATTGCATTTTACTTGTTTGTTTTATGTATTGGTGAACTTTCTTATTTTTTAAAAACAGACACCCAGAAAATTTTATACATTTTTCCTATAATGTCCTTTAAAAGATGAAACATGTTTATTATGACAATGTATACAACTGGTGTTCATGGCCAGTAGCAATTTTTTTCTCTAGCTTGATGGTCTTTAATAAAAGCATTTTCTCACCTCTCGAGTTTCCACCTGTCTTTCCACTGACTGCAATGTGTTGCCCCCAACCTGTATTCTTGAAACTGAGACTTATTTAGTGAAACTCCAGCACTCACCCCACATTGGCAGAGAAGATGGAACACCTGGAGGACATAGTGCAACCCCTCTCTGGACCTCAGGTTTCTTCTCCCCTGTCCATCTGTTATTTCTCTCCTGTCTCAGGATGAAAGTGTCCTTTTACTACTTCAGAGCTAACTCATCAACTTGTACTCTTGATCCCAAAACTGTGGGTTTTTTGTGGCTTACATTAGCTCCTGCATCTTTCCTTCATGGCTGCCCCTCATCCTTCAGGTCTACAAATGTAGTTCACTTCTCTGTGGACTAAAATCACAAGGCTCCACTTTACTGTGGCTCTTGTTGGAGCAACCATCCTGCCTCCTTCCTTCCCATCACAAATGCCCATTGACTCTGCTCCACCTCTCTGTCCACCTTCCGCCCTTGCCACTTGAGGTCACACACATCCAAACCACCAAATCCAAGAGCCCTGGATCTCTAAATGCCATGGAACCTCTCAGCACATCTATCACTGTTTTTTCTTCTTTTTTCCTCCTGAATCTGGTTCTTTCTTTGAAACCGCACATTTCTCTGACTCATTCACCTTATCTTCTTCCCCTTTCCTCTCAAATATGGCCATGTCTGGCTCACCACTCTTGGTGGTCATCGGCTTGATGCTTTGCTGCTCTGCCCAGCTGTGCTTCTCCTTCTCAATGGTGGCAGCTGCCAAATCTGCTGGACCCCTCAGTTCTAACTGTCAGCTCATCATTTCCTCCAAGAGACCTCCAAGGCTTTTAAAACCCAGCCCAGGCAAACCCAGACTCATCATCCTGCCCATTGTGCTAGATCTTTTCTGATTGTTTGACCCGTTCAAAATGGATTCTCCATTCTTTGGGGATGAACATTGATCTATAGGATTGGGCCCCGAGCAGTCATTTGACCTCACTCCCTGGTTACAGTTGACTGGCACAGGGACAGCCACCTGCCTAAGGCTCCTAGTATTTAAGTGAGGGAGACAAAGAACTGGATAAAGACTCAGTAGTGAATGTACTTCTCTATAAGAGAAAGGTGCAAGGATTCTTGGTGCTGGGGCCCCTTAGAGCTGCCCCACTTCTCATCTTTCATACATGCTAGGAAAGTTCATATATGCTAGGAAAGTCTCTCTTTTACCTAAGCTTGCTAGAGTTGGCTCCTTTAAGTAGTGGGTCCACTGACACTTGTCACCCAACAATCTCTCATTCTGTCTGAAACCCCACCATTCCCTTCCCCAGTGAGGGCTTGAAATTTGACTCTGACTTTCTGTGCAACCCACATCTGGAACATTCAAACCTTGTGCATTTTGTCTCCAAAATAATCCTCTCCTCCAAGTCCTCTTCTACTACCCCGGTTCCAGTCTCCATGATCTTTTCTGGGCCTGTCCAGCCTTTCCAGGCTCCAGTGGTCATTCTGATCATATCACTTCTCTGCCTAACATCTGAGGCAAAGTCTGTAACTCTTACCACGGCATTAAAAACCTTCATCTGCCTGGCTCTTGGGTGCACATGGCTCCTCACTATTTTCATTCCTAAGTGTCAGCCAGGCCTGATCGCCGACCTCATCCAAACACTGACCATGCTTTGCATCTTCTGTGATTTTTGTACTGCTGATCCCTTTGCCCTTCAGCTCTGGTAAAATCTGTCTTCTTTAAGGCCCATCTCCAGTCCTTTTCCTAAGCTAGGGGATAGAGAAACATTCCCTCCCTCTTCTGGGACAGGAGTTCCCTGCTAGATTGGGAGGCCTGGCTCCATCTGATTCCTGGTACTGCTGTGGTTGATGGTAAATGGATATCGAGTGTGCAGGACTGTACATCATCCAGTGTCTACCAGGTTAGGAAAAGGCCTACAGAGAATAGCCAAAGTCAAGTACTTCCTGCTGTCACTGCTTACCATGCTTTAAGCCAATATCAGGAAAAGGAAAGGCTGGGGGTGCTGAGTGGTGAATTATATGGACTGTACCCCAGACCTCCAGACTCAGTGTCTGAAAAATAAGATTCTCATGAAACTGGTTTTAGACTCCAGGAAAAACATATTTATATGACTTATTGTTCATAAAACACTTCCATATGCATGAACTGACTGAAATTTTCACTGTGACCCCAGTAAACAGTTAAAGTTTATGAATGTAAGTGAGGAAACAGCCAGGTCAGAGGGAAATCACAGACCTTCAACAGGAAACGGTGTTCCTTCTCTCCACTACCTGCAGTGCAAGTGTTAAAATACAATAAAAAGGCTGCTGGGGAGGTCTGAGTAAGGCAGGGGATGGTTCTGCCTCTAAAGCACATGATGTTTGCCCTGCTTTGTTGTCACACATATACGCATCCACTGCCAGCCTAGAGAGGCTAACTATACAGGACAGAAAAAAAAGTCACCCTTTCTCCAGGAATACATATTATTCCCCAAATGCATTGATTTGATGATAAAGTATTTCAGGTTTTCATAGACCTATTTTCCCCATCAACTCCCATGCCTAGGTGCAACCTGGAAAATATTCTGCATGCATGTATGAGTTTCAGCAGGAGGGGCTATGCATATACACATCTGCATATACATACAGGTTTATTTAAATGATTGGATCTATACTTTTGGAGGCTATTTGATGTATCTTATCAAAATAAAACACGTTTTAAGCAAGAGGTTAAAAAAGCTTTTGAGACCCAAAGGCCATTTAATACAATAAATCCTACTTGGGTAGTTTAGCAAACAGTTTTTAAAACCCACATCCAACAGACTGGTTAGTATTAGATACACAGATTTGGTTTCAAAGCTGAAATGTCCCTGGTGGAATAGATCTTCTCATGAAATGCAGTTATTTTATATTATGCTACAAAAATAGGGACACATATCTATTGACGACTTAAATATTAACTCATAGGCTACCTGGTGACATAAATAGGAAAAAAACAGTGGTCATGGGTTAGGAGTGAGAAGACTATGACACCAGCCTACCTTGGACTGGGACTGCAAAGGAAGTTAAAATCTATCCTAGAATTTAAAACAGGAAAAATGTCAAATATTCCACTCCCCATTTGGCCCAAACCATCCCCCAAGGAATACACCCCACCCCCACCCACCACATGAGGTTTACTAACCACCTGCTACAGATGTTACTATGTCACTAATTAACAATGATCACAGAAAATGTGTCATACCAGAGTTTTTGTTATCATACACAATGCATTAGTGGCTGCAGGAATCTTCCTCCAAAAGCTACTGTCAGAAGGTAAACTGACAAATGTCCATGCCGCTGGTCCAAGAAACCACAGCTAAGAGCCACGAGGCATTCGTTTATACATTGAGCTCTCTCTGGCACGCTCCCCGCTCTAGTTAGAGGAGCTGGGGTGTGGAGAGACCGTCCCCGCCGGGCGCTGCAGCCTCCTACTCCTGGGCCTCCTTGCGGGTCAACTTGTAGATCTCAGTGGGTCCGTCCACATGGGTGATAGT